AAGCGCACATTGTTGGCTCATGTTGAGTTTTAAATTGACCAGCACCCCCAAGTCCTTCTCCTCAGGGCTGCTCTTGAGCCATTCTCTGCACAGCCTGTATTTGTGCTTGGGATTTCCCCTACCCAGGTGCAGGACCTTGCACTTGGCCTTGTTGAACCTCATGAGGTTGGCATGGCTCACCTCTCCAGCCTGTCCAGGTCCCTCTGGATGACATCCCTTCCTTCCAGTGTGTCAACTGCACCACACAGCTTGGTGTTGTCTTCAAACTTGTTGAAGGTGCACTCGATCCCACTGTCCATGTCACTGACAAAAATGTTAAACAGTACTGGTCTTGGTACCAATCCCTGGGGAACACCACTGGTCTCCATATGGACATTGAACCGTTTTCCGCAACTCTCTGAGTGCAACCATCCAGCCAAGTCCTTAACCAGCAAATGGTCCATCCATCAAATCCATGTTTTCCAGTTTTGTGATCAGTATGTTGTGCAGGACAGTGTCAAATGCTTTGCACAAGTCCAGGTAGTTGGACACAACGTCAGTTGCTCTTCTCTTCTCACTGAAGCCGTAACTCCACCGTAAAAGCCCACCAAATTGGTGAGGCATGATTTGCCCTTGTTAAAGCCATCTTGGTTGCCACCAATCACTGCACCTTCATTCTCCATGTGCCTTAGAAGAGCCTTCAGGAGGATCTGCTCCATGATCTTGCCAGGCACAGAGGTCATATCAACTGGCCTATTGGGCTTGGTTTTTTTTTCTTCCTTTTTCCCGTTTTTTAAAATGGGGGTTATATTTCCACTTTTTCAGTCATTAGGAACTTCGCCAGACTGCCATGACCTTTCAAATATGATGGACAGCAGTTTGGCAACTTCATCTGCCAGTTCTCGCAGGACCTGCGGATGAATGCCATCAGGTCCCATGGACTTGTGCACCTTCAGGCTCTTTAGATGATCTCGAACCTGATCTTCACTTACAGTGAGTGGATCTTCCTTCTCCCAGTCCCTACCTTTGCCTTCTGTGACTTGGGCAGTATGGCTGGAGCCCTTGCCAGTGAAGACTGAGGTAAAGAAGCCATGGAGCACCTCAGTCTTCTCCATGTCCCTCCTGACCAGTTCTCCATTTTCTGAAGAGGGCCCACATCTTCCATAACCTTCCTTTTATTGTTGATGTACCTATAAGTTTTCTTCTTCCCCTTTATGACCCTGGTCAGATTTAATTCCATCTGCACATTTAGCTTTCCTAAATCCTGATTGATCCTTTCCTGATCCCTGGCTGTTTGGGCAACTTCTCTGTAATCCTCTCGGCCAACCTTTCCTCACTTCAACTCCCTATAGGTTTTTCCTTTTGCACCCACATAAGTCCAGGAGCTAATTGTTCATGCCTTCTGGTATCTTGCCTGCCTTCCTGCTTCTCGGGAAGCACTGCTCCTGGACTCGAAGGAGATGGTCCTTGAATATCAACCAGATTTCTTAGGCCCCTCTTCCCTCCAGGGCTTTATCTCATGACAACTTGCCTGGCAGATCCCTGAAGAGATTAAAAACTGTACTCCTGAAGTCCTCAACCTCTTCTCATACATCAGGCACTGGTCCTACTATGGGGCTTCAGTCACCTTGAGATCTGCTGGAAAAACAGCCCAGAAAGCTGTATGTAGTCCAGGAGACTCTTGGAGCACACTGAGGATAATTTCTTATCCGGATGATAGGCAGCCTAACCAGAGGAACAGTGTTACTGGACCTGTTGCTTGCCAACACACATGAACTAATTAGTGAGGTCAAGACTGATGACAGCTTGGCCTGTAGTGATCATGACCTTGTGCAACTCATGTTCTTGAGGGATATGGGACAGGTGAGGAGTAAAGCCAGGATCCTGAATTTGAGGAGAGTGAACTTGTAGTTATTTAAGAAATTAGTGGATGTGACCCCCTGGGAATGGCCCTCAGGGACAGAGGAGTAGAACAGAGCATTCAGAGGCACCTTGACAAGCCTGAGCAGTGGGCCCATGTGAACCTCATGAAGTGACCCAAAACTGTATACAGTATTCCAGGTTTGGCCTCACTAGTTCTCTAATAGAGAGGAATAATCACCTCTTTCAGCCTTCTGGCTGCACTCTTGCTATATTCTTGTTCTGAATGACAGCCCCAGCATTCAATGAGTCAATTGTTGTCCACATTGGTCACCAGATTAGATTTTTCATATCTTTCAATTTCTGGTTATCTTCTGGGTTGTGTTAATACAGATATTAATGAGTGCACACTGGATTCTGATATTTGTTCCAATGGAATTTGTGAAAACTTACGTGGCAGCTATCGTTGTAACTGTAACATTGGCTACGAGCCTGATACTTTTGGAAGGAATTGTGTGGGTAAGTTGCTTGGGTTTTTTATTATTGTTGAATAATTCATCACTATATTGGTCCTAATTTGATTTGACAGAATTTAAGTTGCAAGATGTTTACTTCTTAAAGCTACAGTGAAACTGCAAAAAATCTCTAATGAAACTGCCTTTCTCAGTCACTGTGTAGCTAATATTCTTACTGGTTTATTTTTTTGTGATTTGATGGAGCATATTGCTGTTGGGAAGTGTAAGCAGGAGAGATGATTGCAGATTAGAAATTAATTTTATCAAAAACATGGATCAGTTTGTGTTACAATTTAAAGTATAATATTTGTCAAGACCACCTAAAATGTGTTCCTTTCAAAGCTGGATACTAATTTGTCAAAAGCCGAAGGCCATGATTTTGATAATAAAATGTAACAGGTGGCTATCGTTATCATAATAAGTGATAACTGGTGGCCTTTGTGCACAATCTCTGCACTATACAAAAAATCGTGATGTCCCTGAGTTACACAAGTACAGCAGAATGGATTGCTGCATGCTTAGTCCTCTAATTTTCGAAAGCTTCAGCTCGTGAAGGAAGAAATTACCTACTCTTAGGATTTCACAAATGATGTCTGAACAGTTGATTCTAGTGTAACAGCTGTTCTTATGTTCACCAGAATTTCAGGTCACCGGTATACAGGAATTATTTTCTTCGAAAACTTCTGATTGTAATTTGTATTTTGGCTAGGTTTTCATACCAGGCTGTTGTTGCAGTATCTAGATATGTGTTCTGCAAGCATTTAGGAATACCCAACGGAAGATATCTATGTTATATGTTTCACACTCTGACTAATTATATTATTCATGGTCATACATAAAATTCAGCATTTTTTTTCTTTTGGGAATTCTTACATCTGAAGAAAAGTGTATTTATACCACAGGTACATTGTGCAATAATATTGCTTATAGTCCTGTTATAGTCCTGTAATTCTAAACATAAAAATATACGCAAAGTGATAATGTTTCTTTTCATCTGCTTAACTTAAGGAGTTTTACTGCTAGTTACTTTCTAAAGGCCCTAAGTAGGACCCTTTGACAGGAAAGGTACTGCTGCAGAAGATGGTGGGTTTTTTTAAAATACTTTACAAAATATTCCTTTTCCAAATTAATTTTATGGCAAGGGATTTTATTCATCTAGTTACACTTGGGATTATATAAGTGCTAGTACAGGTATCTGTCTTTTTAATTGTTTAAATAAAAATACAGCATACTGATTGTGAGAATGTGTTTATTCTTAGGAGAATTTTTGCACAGAAGAATTTAATTACGAACATTCAAATAAAGGGTTGAAATATTTTAATTAATGATACAGATTATGAGCTGCCAGGAAATAAAAATTTCCATAAGACAGAAAACAAACAGTATTTTTGTCAGTTTAAGTGTTTATAGAGCATAAATTGGATAGATCTGTGTTTTTACAGTGCATATCACAGTAGATTACAGTCCAAATCTGAAGTTACTCTGTGCAGTTTGCACCTTACTAGCTTGTGTTAAAGGACTGCATGACAACAATCTCAAAATCCAAGTCTATTGCTCTTGAAAATGTTAAATTCCAAATCTGTAGTCCTTTAATAGGTTAAAATCAGATGGGGTTAGATTAAGGACAGGTTATTTTAGAAGAGCTTCGTTACAGCTGCCAAACTTAAAGCTCAGATTCATCATCTGGGGAAATTTAGACTTTACTATCTGAATCCTAAAGGAATTTATAAGCATAGCTTGCAAAATCTAATGTAGTTGGGAAACAGAAGGCCTCCAGATTGTAATTGTATTGCATTCTTGTTTTTATTCCTTGTTTTTAAACATGAAGTCTGTAAAGAATTTAGTTGATCTAAGATTTCAGTTGCATTGTTAAGTTTGGTTCAAGTAGTCAAGATATAGGAGACACCCTGAAGCAGAATAAAGTGTCATATGTATCATAACATATCCTGTCAGTATTATTTTATAAGCTTAAGTATTTGTGACATGTGATGGGCATTAAAGTATCTTAAAATTACTTTTTTTTTCCTTTTAAAAAATAAACAATAGGATAATGAGCAAGACTGATTGCTTTTTATTAGCATTATTTACACTTAGTATAGGAGGAGTTCAGGGGGTGATGTTAATTTGCTTTTTTCCTGTTCAGTGTGCTTGATATCCTGGTCTTAATTGTAAGGTTTGTTTTTTTCAGTACAATCTACCTCTGGAGAATGTGTGCTTTTGAGATGTCTGCCATCTGTGAAATGTACAATTTAGAGTTGAATGCACATATTCAATTCATGGATGACAAAATCAATTTTTGCCCATAAAACAAGATTAGAACAGTAATCTAACACATTGCTTTTTGTGCATTTAGAAAAAAATTAAAATGCTAGTTTAATAGCAAATAGACCTTTGCAAAGTTGTCACGGTGATGTCATACAGTTGACAAAGTTCCCAAGCTCATTCCAGGAAAATGGAATAAATTAATTAAATATTATTATAAGACTATTCTTGAAGCCTGCTAATGAAAAGAAATAAAAACAGAACACAATTTTTGGTAATAAGAATCTGAAAATTAATTAGACTTTTGAAACTAAGAATTGGCATTTTCCCTTGCTCAGTCACTGTTGTAGAAAACTGTATATCCATCAACCTAATTGTTGCTACAGAAAGCAGCAGAGGCTACTTGTGGACTTGAAGGCATCTCATGGCATTTGCATTCACTGGTATGTCTTAACTCATCTTTTTCAGACATTGATGAATGTTCAGTGAACAGGCTGCTGTGTGATAACGGGCACTGTCGAAATACCCGTGGAAGTTACAGCTGCACTTGTCCAAAGGGTTATGTTTTCAGCACTGAGACAGGCACATGTGAAGGTGAGAAGACCTCATGCTGTGTTAATTTTATTGCTTATTATATAACATTAAAGCTAAACAATCACAAAAGATTGAGTGGTGACAAATATGAGAGGAAAAGACAGACTGTTCTTCTCTTGGCTGTATTTCATAATCATGTATGTCTGCTGAACTCTGAGCAGTGAGCTTGTGATTGGGGGTGAATGCTGCAGAAATATTTAAAATAATAAAGCATTTTGTTAAAGGAAGAAAAATATTCCTGCTTTCTCCTTTGGGGAAAAATAACCCTGAGAAACAACTGATAATTAACTAAAACTTTAAATTTGTAGGAGTATTTCCTTTCTCAACATAGTTTAGTGTAATCACCCTAAAATACTTCTCTTTTCTTATTGTCTGAACTGCAGAATCCTGAAGGATTTTCAGTTTCTTTCAATATTGTTATCTACATTAACTTACATAAGTAGCTCGTGAAGGATCTGTTATCTTCATCTTGAATCTCATAGTTAGATTGATGTTTAAACTTAGCTGATCAGGCGAAAAAGCTGATCAGGAGGTGTTTGGCATAAAACTGTCTATAATATCTATTAAATGTATGACATTTTTTAAAAATGTTGAATGGGTGAGCAGTAGAGGAATAAATTAATCTCTTTCTGTCCAAATTGTGTTTTCAAAGAAACACTACATAATTTGCTTTGGAGTTACAAGTTCACTATCTGTAGCTGGAAGCTTTGTGTTCTGCTTTGTAAATACTCTGATGTTTATTACTCACTCATATATTTTTAATTAAGATAAGTCTAATCAGTAACTGTGAAGAAACAGCAAAACCCTTCACTGTTTTCATTTATGGTTCAATTGAAATTTTGTATCAGTTTGCTGTGGGAAGTGGGGGAGTTGTGTGAGGCTCCAGAGTCTGTAAAAAGTTGAGATTTTTACAAGTTCTGTGCTTTACGTTGTGTTTCCAGCGACATAACTAGTTAAATGTAAACCAGATGTGCTTTGAAGAGCATTTCCAGGAATGCACATTTGTTCATTTCCAGGACTGTTTCAGTTTTTGTTTCTCTCACATTTACAAAGTACGCTCACTTCACTTAAGAAAAAAATTAAAAAATCAGGGCTTTTAAAATAAAACCCTGATAAATATTCTCAAATATATTGGCTTTTATTTTAAAATATATTGATTTGGCCCAAAAGTAATTGCTTCCTTTTCTGGGTAAATGAAAGGTGAATTTTTCATGGGAAACAAAAATGGTAGTAAACACTGTAGTGTCCATTTTATTCCATTATCTTTTGCCATCTTTCAGGCAACTTCATGATTTTGCACTCAAAAAAGTTCTTATCTTTTTCAGCAAATAAAAAGTTCCAAGAACGATTTTATACATTCATCAGCAGTGATGGTTTAACCATTCAAGATGTTTTGTAAAGAACAAAACAAGTGGTAGTCTGATGGTGCCAGGTCTGGTGAATATGGTGGATGTGGTAACACATCCCATCCAAGCTGCAACAATTTTTGATGGGTGACCAAACTTGTATGTGGTCTAGTGTTGTCATGGAAAACCACAACACCTTTGTGATTCACCATTTGTGATCACTTCTTTTTGATGGCATCTTTTAATTTATCCAGTTGTCAACAGTACACATTAATGGTTCAGTTCCTTGGAAGCAATGCAAAATACACAGTACCTTTGAAATCCCAGCAGACTGACAGCATAACCTTCCTTTGGTCAATATCTGCTTTTAAAGTGCTTTGAGCTGGTTCATCATGCTTGCTCTATGATCTCTTCTGTTTGTCAGTGTTGTAGATGATCCAGTTTTCAAATATTTCAAAAGCGGATCATTTTCTTCATGTTTCAAGAGAGAATCACAGATGTCAACGTGCTTAGGTTTCATCAATGCCTTTATTTTGTTGTTACTAACTTTGATTGGCCTTCCTGAGCACGGTGCATCTTTAACACCAAAATTTCTGAACTGAAATCTAGCAAATCAATTCTGACACTGCTGTAGTTTTATACCTTCACTATACACATCACATAACTTTTTATGCACCACAATTTTTTCCATTTTAGAAGTAATACAGCAAAATATGATTAAATTGTTCCTTTTTTAATGTTCCATTTTGAAATTGATGCCAAATTAAAAATTGTTAATGAAGTCATAGACTTTTTTTTTCTAAAACAAACTTGAACTGTCAGCTGTCAAGTTACATAATGAATTTGTGGTTTAAAATGAAGTTAGCTACATTTCAAGACATATATGTCCATCTATTAAAATAAAAACTACAGTTAGGTTTTTGGCCAACCCAATAGAACAGTGTTAAAATCAATTGGTTTTCTTGCTCACTCTGATTAAAATGACCATTTAATATCAACATAATAAGGTATATGGAAACAATATTGTTTTTTTTTACATTATGCATATGATACTCTTTCACTTGACTCAGCAGAGCAGTAATGTTGAAGTTCATTCATCCTTGAATTTTTTTTTCCTGAACAGTGGTTTCTGGGAAGTAGTCAATGCAGTATTATAAACTTGTTAATACCCAAAAGCGTTTGGTTAGTTTTTACAACCAGAATTTAATGCCTCCAGATATGTGTACCCTAATGCTGAGTGAAAGTTGCTCTCCCTCTTTCTACTCTGTAGAGAGAAATGGAATGAGTATTCTTTCACCTGCATCAGGACAAAGTGAAATGAGGATGTGTCTGGTTCTGTGATACATCTTCTCTCACCGCTGGTCTTGCAACAAGGTTCTGCCATTCTCATCCCAGAAGTTCAAAAGTAGCTATTTTTCTGTGGCATGTGTGAGAGGCTGGCACTGGCACTCAGGAAAGGTAGAAACTGAGAGTGGGACAGCAGCAGCCTGGCAAATTGAGTCAGCTGTTTTTCTAAGGAATGTGTTTCATGCAAACTTGAGTGAGGATTTATACTAGATTGCTGAATTTGGCTTGAAATGGACAGGCAGTTCTCCCAGTCTAGAAAGTTGTCAGCTTTGACAATGGTGTATCACCTTTCTGTTCTTCCCCATTTTTGCTCACCCATGTGTTCAATTTGAGTCTTCTTTCCTTTCACTGCTTTTGGGCAGAGAATGAAGAATATGGCCCATGAAATCAAGACAGCTGCTTCACTCTTTGTAAGGTGTTGAACTTTAGATGTTTTAGCCCCTCCATCTCCACTTACTCACTTTGGTTGTAGTTCTGGGGACAGTGACTTCCAGGTGTGGCCTTCAACTTCTTTTTTAGTTAGGTTTGAGTCTCTCATTAGCCTGAAAACAAATTACAAGATGTGTTCTCTTAGAAGAAAATAAATTTTAAACCTAGCTTCTAAGTATCGGGGAGAATTAAAGATAGGAACGATAACCTGGTACTACATCTGTAAATGTGAAGCATTTTAAGTTTCATGCATTTTCTTATATTCTGAATATGTTTGAAATGCATTTGGTTGTGTGTGTGCAGACCTGTGTGTAGCTGGGCTGCCAGCTGTTAAAACCATGTGGCACTTAAAAATCACCCTTTTTCAGCTTCAAGTATTTTCAGGAGTCTTCAAGCACTTGACCTATAATTTTTTTCACTGGCTGTCTGAGTCAGGCTATATTTTAATTTTGCCCTTAAAAAATTCAGACAAAACTTCTTGTTAATTTCTAAGAAAATGTTGATCTGAGCATTTAGAAAAATGCAAACCTTGTGACCTTTCCTTTAAAAAGCTGTTACTTCTGTATGCTGTTGCAGCTTCAAATGTCTTGAGTAGTTTTTATGTCAGGATGGTGCTGCCTTTCTCTGAAAATGTGATCAGATATGGCCAAGTTGTAAGTCTCATTTTGCATGTGTTCAGTGGAGACTATTTTTAGTGTCCAAAAGCCTCAAAGAGACCGTGGAACAAATTATGCCTAGTCCTTCATGGGAACTTCACTTAACTTGCTTCTTAGCTAAAAGGAGGGAAGAACAGTTGCAATTAACTGCACAGGGAATCATACCTATAAACAAGCAAAGACATAAATGCAGAGACTGATCAAAGATCCCTCTGACCCACAGCAGAATAAGTATACAACGTTGCTTTCCCAAAATAATTTTCGAGTCCCCTTTTGAGCAGTTGTGGTTCAGAAGTAGGATCTTTACTTTATACAGACATTGGTGAATTTATCTTCTATGAACTTTTCCAGACTGCCATAGATTAATGCAAGTCTTCAGCATGTTAGGGCAAAGGTTTCCAGTTTGTTTGCCCATTGTGTAAAGAACCATTTCTTTACTTGTTTTGCTACCAGCCAGACTGCAGATAGCATGCTTAAGATGACTTCTTTGTCTTGGTGTGATCTGTTTCTAATTGTGGAAAACAGATATTTGGTTTCTCAGTAAAAGCAGCAGAGGCTGCTCTGTGCTACCAGGTATTGCTGACTGGGGAGAGAGTGGGAGGCCAGGAACATGGGGAGCATGCCTTGGATAATAAAACCGTAAGTATTAAAGTGTGGAATGTATTTACAGGGGACAGAAGGAATGCAGATCAGATAAATACTGACAAGCCCTCCAGATTAAGACAGAAGGACTTAGAGCTTGCTTTATCAGCACTTGCTGGCTTTCTAGATCTGCTCTGCTTTCTTACTGCACTAACCAGCACACCAAGACAGTACCTGAGCAGTGCCAAACCTGGTCTGGCCCTATCTGCTCATACACTGTGCTGCACCCTCATAGAATCATAGAAAGCTTTGAGTTGGAAGGTACCTTAAAGATCATGGGCAGGGACACCTCCCACCAGACCAGGTTGCCCAAAGCCCTGTCCAACCTGGCCTTGAACACTTTCAGGGAGGGACCATCCACAACCTCCCTGGGCAACCTGTGCCAGTGTCTCACCACCCCCACAGTTAAGGAATTTCTTCCTAATATCTAGTCCAAATCTATCCTCTTCCAGTTTAAAGGCATTCCACCTTGTCCTATCACTACCTGCCCTGGTAAAAATTCCCTCTCCAGCTTTCCTGTAGGCCCCCTTCAGAAACTGGGGGGCGACAGTAAGGTGTCACCAGAGCCTTCTGTTCTCCAGTTTGCACAGCCCCAAGTCTCCTAGCCTGTCCTCGTAGGGGAGGTGCTCCAGCCCTTGGATAATTTTTATGGCCCTCCTCTGGACCTACTCTGGACCTATGTTTAGTTGTGGTGAATAGAGCTAAATCCAGCTGGCGACCAGTCACAAGTGGTGTTCACCAGGGCTCAATTTTGGGCCCAGTCCTATTTAACAACTTTATCAATGATCTAAATGAGGGGGTTGAGTGCTTCCTCAGTAAGTTTGCAGATGACACTAATTTGGGAGGAAGTGTTGATCTGCCTGAGGGTAGGAAGGTGTATCAGAGGGGGTGTGGCGAGTAGCTCGAGAGAGGTTCTCCTTACCCTCTACTCTGCCCTGGCGAGACCACATCTGGAATATTGTGTCCAATTCTGGGCCCCTCAGTTCAAGAAGGACAGGGAATTGCTTGAAAGACTCCAGCGCAGAGCCACAAAGATTGAGGGAGTGGAGCATCTCCCTTATGAGTAGCGATTGAGGGAGCTGGGTCTCTTTAGCTTGGACTAGAGGAGACTGAGGGGTGACCTCATTAATGTGTATAAATTTGTGAAGGGTGAGTGTCAGGGGGAAGGAGCCAGGCTCTTCTCAGTGATAGCCAATGACAGGACAAGGGGCAATGGGAGCAAGCTGGAGCACAGGAGGTTCAAGCTGAACATGAGGAAATACCTCTTTACTGTGAGGGTGACAGAGCATTGGACCAGGCTGCCCAGAGAGGTTGTGGAGACTCCTTCTCTGGAGACATTCAAAACAAAACCTGCCCGGATGCGTTCCTGTGTGACCCAGTCTAGGTGATCCTGCTCTGGCAGGGGGGTTGGACTGGATGATCTTTCGAGGTCCCTTCCAACTCCTAACATTCTGTGATTCTGTTAGCTTCATGTTGCTCACCAGCCCCTCCTTGTTGATGATGATGAAGTCCAACATAGCACCCCTTCTTGTAGATTTCCTCTACCTCTTGGAAGAGGGAGTTACCATCTGCATTTGAGGAACCTCTTCAATCGCTGATGCCCTGCTGTGTTGTCATTCTAACAAATGCCAGGGTTGTTAAAATCCCCCATGAGTACCAGAGTTGTGAAGTAGAAGCTGCTGCTATCTGCTTTTAGAGAATCTCATCCATTCTGTCTTCCCGGTCTGGTGGCCTGTAGCAGACCCCCACTATGATGTCTCCTTCGCCTGCCTTCCCTTTAATCCTGACCCATAAACTCTCTGTGAGCCTCTCACCCTATCCCAGGTAGACCTTCCTGGGCTCCAGCTGGTCCTTAATGTAGAGGGCAGCACCCCCTCCCCTTCTCACCTGCCTGTCTTTCCTAAAGAGTTTATATCCCTCTATTCTTATGCTCCAGTCATGAGAGCCATCCCACTACATCTCAGTGATGCCAATGACATAGCCCTGTAGGCACACATACATCTGTAACTCTTCTTGCTTGTTACTCTCCACAGTAAACTGTCTCAGGACTCAGCATGTCCACCTGTGTCTAAGCAGACTGTTTGCAGAGAAACATGCAAGCTCTGCCTAATGCTCTACAGGACTACCAGCCCGTAGTAGGGTGGGTCTTGAGGACTGCTGATGCAGCTAGGCCAGTACAGCCAGTCATCGAAGCTCTCGGGGTGTGTTCCTGTAATACACTGTCTTAACCCAATAAGGCCTCCTACGTTTTGCATCTCTGCAACTGTGTATGATTAATGTGTAAGCTGGGTAATCCCCAAGTTTAAGAGTAAACTTCACAAACGTAAAGCTCTACCACTATTCAAAACCTTGCTGCTGTTCAAGGGCAACTCCTATTTAATTTTTGCAAGTAATTCCATTAAGTAAAGGGACTGTGAAAATTGGCTTTTAAAAAGTGCTTCCTTTTGGCGTTAAGAGATCACAGTTTACTAAGTTTACTGATTTCTGGGCATTTTTCATCTTCTTTTTTCTTTTTGTTTCATAATATATAGGTAATTTGATCGGTATCTTAAACACACACTCCTTCCCATGACCCCAGAAAATCATGAAAGAATACATATCTAGTGAAATGAAGGCTTGATGCATCATAACATAACAAATAGGAAATACCATCTTTTTCATGGTTTCTAAAAAATACTTTGTCTTGAAAATGATCTCTTGACACTATTAGTGTTTCCATTAACTAGACCTTGCATTAATGTATGATTAATTTAAATCAGCCTATTTTGGTTTATGGGAATGGCATTATTCCTCAAGCACTACTAGCAAACATAAGCAAGTACTAAGCAGTTTTATTTCTGGATAAAAAGGAAGTATCTGGTTTAATTAGAGTATATGGCTCGAGTGAGGACCCAAGTCAAAAAATGAGATTGGCTGAGTTCAGCAAGAAATAGTAGATATGCATTTGCAACTGTCTTTGAAAGAATTAGCTAGTATTGTTTTAGTCTTAAAACTCATTTCACTCTTTAAAACAAATGAACTAATAATACTGTCTGTAGGGTTCTTATTCTTACATGTGCTTAAAAAACTCATGGGGGTAATAAAAAAAAATATTTAGGGGCTAGAGAGAAGTGCCATTTACAGTATTCCAGTTTCAAGTCCTATTTCTTGACTGCTTTCCAGAACTAGAGAATTGCAGGCAGCATTGTAATATTTTGTTTCTGACAGGGTTTTCCAAAGTCTCATGGAGCGATAAATGACAGAAGCAATAAGGCCTTTATTTATGCACTGCATGTTGTGGCTGGGAATGCATTGCATTCTATGAAAAAAGAGTTGTGTTTTCTCATAGGACAGTTATAATTGATACTCAAAAGCTTTATAGTCCAAGTTGCTGGCAATTACTGTCTTTGTAGAAAAGTGCCATTTCATTAACACTTTCAAAATATGTGCTCCTATACACATCCATGTATGTGTTAGCTGCCTGTCCCTATGTCTTTTGAATGCCATACTTAGAGTAGGGGGAAGTAAATATACCAGGCAGTCTTGGCAAATCATGGTCTACAGCAGCATTTATACTATATATTTTCAAGAAGAACATTGTAGTTCTAACAGTGTCTTTTGTTTTTGGATTCTAGATATAAATGAATGTGAAAGCAGCCCATGCACCAACAGTGCCTGCAGGAACAATCTTGGATCTTTCAGTTGTGAGTGTTCATCTGGCAGCAAGTTGGACTCTACAGGACTTATATGTATTGGTGCGTATTTCCTGCTGTTATTTTCCCTTTTTCTTACTTACTTGAAAAATGTTGATCATACTGATTAAGCAAGAAAATAATGTATTTGGATGGTTTCCCCATGAAGACCCACAGTGTATCTAGTTCTGTAGGTAAGACAAAACAAACATGGTTCGTGATCACCTGAGGAACCTCAACATACATAAGTCTATGGGACCTGATGAGACGCATCCAAGAGTCCTAAGAGAATTGGCTGATGTAGTTGCAAAGCCACTCTCCATGATATCTGGGAAGTCATGGCACTTGGGTGAAGTCCCTCGTGACTGGAAGAAGGGAAACATCACACCCATTTTTGAGAAGGGTAGAAAGGAGGACCCTAGGAGCTACTCTCCGATCAGCCTCACTTCTGTGCCTGGGAAGATCATGGAACAGATCCTCCTAGAAACTCTGCTGAGGCACATGGAGGACAGTGAGGTTATTCAAGACAGCCAGCATGGCGTTACTAGGGACAAGTCCTGCCTGACCAACCTAGTGGCTTTCTACAATTGAGTAACTGCATCAGTGGACAAGGGAAGAGCTATGGATGTCTTCTATCTGGATTTCTGCAAGGCCTTTGACACTATTCCCAACAACATCCTTCTCTCTAAGTTGGAAAGGTATAGATTTGATAGGTGGACTGTTCAGTGGATAAGGAATTGGCTGGATGGTGGCATCCAAAGGGTAGTGCTCGGTGTCCAGATGGAGATGGGTGACAAGTGGTGTCCCTCAGGGGTCTGTACTGGGACCAGTGCTGTTTAATATCTTCATCAATGATAGGGCGGAGGAGGACAGTGAGATTGAGGGCACTCTCAGCAAGTTTGCAGATGATACCAAGCTGAGTGGTGCGGTTGACATGCCAGAGGAACCTACACAAACTGGAGAGGCGGGCCCATGTGAGCCTCATGAAGTCACAAGGTCAAGTGCAAAGTCCTGCACCAAGGGAGCAGGAACAAACCAAGAGAAACATAATTCATAAGGATGTCCAGACTATAGCAGAAGTGGTGAAATGGTTCATTGGAAAAATGAGAATATGAGTAAAACTATAGGTGATTAGTCTGTTAGTTGAGAAACTGTAAAGCAGAAATGCTTACTCAGTTTTTTGGCCTTTTTAAATCTTGAGACAAGAAAGCAAGTAAAACTGGATTAACAGCTACTCAAATAGTGATAGGAAAGCACATGGCTTATAGGGTTTGGGAAACCCTTCATAAACTGTGAAGACTGACGTTCCTACCTATAAGGAAATATTTATGGGTTTTACATTATAGCACAGTCTCATACTTCATGTCTTTTATATGCAGCTGGTAAAGGTGAGTAAGACATATCTGAGTTTGTCAGGAGCCCTGCTCCTGGAGCAGACACGTGAGTATTGTCTTGGTTTTGTAGATATACGAACACTAAATGTAGATATAGAAAAATAATGTTGGCATCCTTTGAGGATTCTGTTGCATTGAAAAAAAGCAGAGCACTGCACAAATGTTATTGTAGCTTTCAGCAACAGTTGCCTGCACGATGTCATTAGCCTTATCTTTGGAAGCCATTAATTGTTTTTTTGTCTTGCCTTTCCAAGAAAATTCAAAGGATTGGAGATATCTATGCTTCCCCCCCTGCCATTGTTTCATCTTACTTGTATAACATAATTTAAGTCCTTGTAGGTTATGTGGGATAAACTGGAGTGTTGTCAGTAGATGGATAATGCTAATTTTAAGTGTTCCTTTGATTTTAAGATGAATTTGTCTGATGTTCATGGTTCAACTTTTTTGCCTTGCCAAGATTTTCTTAAGATAGGAAATAGAATGCAAAGGCTCAAGTTTCCATTTAATTATCAAGTCTGTTTATGCCTTAATATGTTTTTTGTGTCAATGTTAATTTTGTGCCTAAGCCTTTTCTTAATTTCCCTGTAGCGTCACTGGCCAGTAAAGTGCTAATTTCTTGATATGACCACACTAACCTGTGCTTTTTTGTACTGCTTATTTTTAATCTATGTTCTCACATCCAAAGGTGCTACAAGTTCACTAAGGGCCTAATTACAACAATGTTCTGGTTTTACTTTGCAAATGGCGTCTGTTGAAAAGTTTACAGTGTGAGGTACCCTTTGACCGCATATTAGTTACAAGTAACATAAAACATAAATGAGAAAAAAAGACTTGAACAATCAGATAAGTGAAGAATAGGAGCTACCTATATACTGTGAGCCTAATCATTATTTTTTCCTCTTGGCCAAAATTCTCTCAGGAAGAGTTTTGTCTATGATAGGTGAGAATATGTTAGAACAAAAGGGTCAGAAGTACAGCTAATGCAAGACATACAGATTTACACTGTTAAAGCCCAGTTTTATATTTTTCTACCTTGGCAAAATTTCTGTTGGAATGAGTAGTTAGGAGAGCAGACTGAATGATTGAACAGTGAATGAGAGGTTGGAAGTTACAGGTAATTTATTGTGTGAAAAACTTGCAAATGATCTTGTTGAATGTATGCCATTTAAATTCTTTACAGTAGAGCAGGTTGTTTTTTCCCATTATCGCTGCAGTGAAAGACTTTCATACTGAATGTATTTGCTCTAACTATTTTAGCGGGTTGCTCCTGTAAGATGATCTTGGAGCATATGAAAAGGATATGCCAAAACATAAATGCATGGCTAAAATAATGTTGTGGTTTGGGAATGTGTTGTACTCTTCATAAGAATGATTGAATGTCAGATTCTGACCCCTCTCCAGTTTTTGCTTAATTTCAAATTTGCTCTCATGTCAGAACCAGAATCAGACCTATGTTACAAGAGTAAGCTTTTCTTTCTTTCCTTCATGATGATGATTAAAGGTATTGAACCTAAAAATGGCACAAGATTTTTAATTACAAGCACGTGACAACAATATTAGAGTACTAAAAGGTTAATTTAACTTCACTGCTAATTTTAGTTTTACATTTGATTGCTCCAATATCTTTGTTGTTACTTGGTCTTATTGCTGATTTTCATGGTCCTGTGGTCTTGGGTCATGTACGGCATGTTAGACTGATCTTATATGAAGAAGCTATATAGTTGGTGCTTGTTTTTTACTCTGTGGACGGAAGGCTTCAGTCTGTCAGTTCCTCTGTTTCATTGCTCAGTCTTCTCAGCCTCAAGGATGAAGAACCAGGTGGCTTGAGATGATTGCATCCATATTACCTGTAGAAATTGAGCCATTTTTCTCTGTGAACTTTCTTGGGCAGAGAAAAAATGACTTGCTCAAATTACAGTCAGAATTCAAGTCACAACATTTGTGCTCAAATTTTAGCTCAAACCTCCAGCAAATGAGGGTTGTTAGTTCAGCAGTTAAAATAAAAGCATTCAGCAAATATGTTGAGGTATTTTGCGTTTATTTTTCTTGCACACTGCAATATTGAGGCTGCACTCTTAGAGGAAAAAAGTGGAAATGTTTTTGAAATAATCTGTTGGTGGTACAAGTGTTGCATCTCTATTTTGGGAATTGCTCATGCAGTAAGGATACTGCCATTTGTGCTTTCTGAAATACACACTTAATATATGCTTTTTATGCAAGTTTTGGTCAAGATTTGTGGAATTCATACAGTGCACAATAAGTAGGCTGCCGTCTGCCTGTAGTATGCATATATTAATCTTCAAGTCAGAATCAAAGAGATGCAAGCGACAGAAAGAATGCTTTGATGCTGGATAATAACTTTTTCACCAATGCAAAAGTCACAGTGGCGAATGACAGTTCGGGTTTTGTCTTTGATCTTGTTATGTTAACTCTTGTCTTGATTGTTAGCTAAATGTAGATCAACGTGTGGAAAAGATACCTTTTCCACTTTTATGCTCTTTGTTGGTTTGTGTACTTGCTTAAGTGTGCTGTTCTAGCCTACAGGTCTGTGACCAACAGTACAGTTGTTTTACACTTAACTGTTTATGCTTAATGTTGCCCAGTTTCTAGATCTGGTTCCAGTCACATTCTTGGGCCAATTTTTTCCTGGTACTTCAGCAAAAGAAATGTTCTGCTTTCTTGTGGTGTGTGTAATTTTTTAACATGACAATTTTGTAGAAAAGTTGAAGTTTTTTGAAAAAAACCAAGCTGGAATGGTTCTATCTTAAGCAGTTTGTTCCTAAACATAAGGTATTAATAATACTGAGCAACAGCACCTAATAGATGGTCTGGTTTTTTGCACATATAACAAATCTTAAAGCCAAATCCTATTCCTCTTTCATTAATCATCTCATCAAATTAATCTCCGCCACTTGCTTAGCTTTGAACTCTGAGTATGCATGTGCATTTAAACTCTAGCTAGACTGACCTCCTAATCTGGGTTAGATCTTTACAGACTGCTTTTGCTATCTGATCAGAAAGGTTATTGTCTGCTTCAAGAAATTTTATACCATTTGAGTGTAAGATTGTAAAAGTAGAGAGCAAAGCTGGTGTAGGTAGAACTTTTAAAGTATGTAACTGAATGAGGATCTAACTGACGTTTTAAAAAAATGTCTTGGGCACTGAAAGCATAGATTTTAAGACTCGAAGATTTAGGTACCTAAAAGAGAATTTCAGAGGGTTTCAGGCAGTATAGACAACACTGATGTCTGAAAATCTCCCCTCTGCTCAGTGGCTGTCTATGCTGGGTAACAGTAAGGATGTTCTGGCTGATGTGGCTGGGCACTTACTGGAATGGGTGTACCCTGAGCTGGCCTGAGTTCCCAACCTGGCAACTGAATTTGTGATTCAGGAGCCAGGTGTGCTGTGGCTGAGTCTTCAGGAGCAGAAAGTGGGGTATAACCTAACAGGTGTGTTCAAAGCATACACCAGCAGAACTAAACTCCTAAAAGAATATAGCACACCCCCGTATTTTTATCTTCTTCTCGATCCTAACAACCTTGAAGGTTCACCAAGTAAGAGAGGCAAGAGCACCTAGATTTTGTAACTCAGTGGTTCAGGCAGTCATCTGGAAAAGGGAGTCTCAGGTTGCGGTCTCTACTTTTATTGTAACTTGTGTATTTTAGACTGATCAGTCACTGGATAAAACAAATAAATCCACTGTAGTGTCTGGAGGACCTCTGCTAGTTATGGGACTTGGAGTCTAAAATGCCTCAAGGAGGGTGCTCTATTGCTCACTTTTAGTGATAGTGCTATTCCTTTCCACCACCTCTAAACTGAAATGTGTACAAAAATACTCTCTTTGGTACTCCCTTGGTACTCTGTCTACTGATGGCATGAACATGACATACCAGCTCTTTTTCCTGTAACAATTCCATGTTGTTTTCTATTCCACTGCAGATAGCCTGAAGGGAACTTGCTGGCTTACGATCCAAGACAGTCGCTGTGAAGTCCACATTAATGGTGCTACACTGAAATCTGAATGCTGTGCTACATTAGGAGCAGCTTGGGGCAGCCCATGTGAACGGTGTGAATTAGGTATGCTCCCATATCCTGCATCTTCTGGGAGAAGAGAGGTAGTACCACTAGATAGGTTCTCATCATTTTCTGCATAGAAAACAAACAGACAACACACAAAAAAATGAAATTAGGCTGCCTCATTTAGCATCACTTGTAATCTCCACCATCAAAGAACATTCTCGTAGATTTGAAGTTGCCAGGAAATAGCATGTGAAAGAATCTTTTAATAATTACATGTTTCATCTCCACAGGGACTGTGCATTGGGGTAGGGAAATAAGAACTACCATAATAAAGCAAAATATCTGGCAGAAGTCTCGTGGACATTTTACGTTGAGGGCTGTTAACACATTTTCCAGCTGTTTTTATAGACATATGTACAATTATTGATTGCAGAATAGTACTACTATTAGATTACAGGGTTAGGTCTAGAAGTTGGAAGCTGTGTCCTCTAGTTTGTGGGTAAAACACTGTGCCACATTCTCCCTGTAAAATTTGAATAATGCCACTTGCAGCTGAACCAGTGTCGGAACATTTTAGCCTTTCATTTTCAATGGGTACAATAACTGTGAGCACCTGTATTCCATCTAACAAGCATGCTGCAAACAACATCCAACAGAGCTCTCGACTGTGCAGTGCAGCATCAAGCAAGAGGATTAGTTTCTACTCCAGGAAGTAGCATGGTCAGATTAGATTGGTGGAATTAACAAAATACTTATCAATCTAGAGAGCTAATCAGCTCAGACTGGGTACATTTGGCCATTTAATTTCCTATTCCCTAACTTGTTAAATTTCAGCAAGCTTTCATATTGCCACGATATGCCACATTTTACATGCATATCCTAAAATAATGTCTTTGCTCAGATTAAGGTGCAGTGGAAACTAGTGATAACTGGCATCAGTAAAGCTTTAAATCTTCGGACAACTTTGCAGGAAATATACCTTTCAGATATATCTGAGTGCAGTGAGTAATATGATTAGACACTGGGCATTCTGGTCTCCATTAAGGAAAGTACATGAGAAAGTGATTGTCTGATATATAATTTCTTCAACTGTTCACTCTTTTTAAGTAACATGTATAAGTCAGTACATTTCTTGATTGAGGCTAGACCACTCATCACTGTATACAGTCAAATTATTAGAGAATTCCAAAAATACATGTATTTTAAAATTATTTACTCTATTTCTGTCATTCTAAAGCAGTGATGTATATCTCTGGCTTGATTTCAGACACACCTTGCTCAAGAGGATTTGCCAGATTGAACGGTGTAACCTGTGAAGGTGAAGTTTTTGCTTCTAACTCAAGATACCACTTTTTTTCCTTTGAAAATGACTTAAAAGGGGATTTATTATATTGTTAGTTTTGTGAGGCATGATCATATTTACCTTAGATGAATGCCTTCACAAACAGTTATTGACTGTTGGGAAGTGTTATGTTACGCTGTTTGCTGGAGAATATCAAAGTGATATTGAGAGAATGGAACTGCTCCTTCAAGATGCATTTTTACCGGTTTTACATCCTTTAGTTTTTCCTTTCTCTCAGCCATATCCGTCATCTTGTCTTAGAGGATGTGGCATCTTAGTGTCCAATGACTTGAAGATCTTGCAAGAGTCCCTTGGGTGTGAGCCAGATGCTTGGTGGGAGTAGTGCTCAGACCTCAATACAGTATGGATGAAAACCTCTTGCTTTCTTTCATGCAGCTTAAATTCTTAATAAAGCTGTAGCTATCTCCTTCAAATTAGCATATAACTCAACTCTTTATTTCCGAACAGATGTAAATGAATGTGATGTTTTCCGGGGCATTTGTTCCAATGGACAGTGTGTTAACAGCAGAGGCTCATTTCACTGTGAGTGCCCTGAAGGACTGACACTGGATGGAACAGGAAGAGTGTGTTTAGGTAAGAGCACACTCAACTCTGCCGGCTTTTTAGCTGTGTCCAACAGTTGTCCAAAATTATTGTCAAAGGGGTGTGAAAGGATGTTTGGTTTGTTTCTGAATTCCTCTGAAAGCAGTTTCTTCACTGTACGTTTTAGTTTATGCCTGCTTAGATATCAAATGCCTCTACCAGTTCAGGGAAGAGCTGTTAATCCCTAGGACAATATGAATGTTTATGTTAAGACTTGTTTTGCCCACAGTACAATCAGTAGGTTTTGCTAGAGTGCTGCCCTTACTCCGATTCATAATCAGAAATGTCTGTCTTGCTGGAAGCTAGATGATAAGCAGAGAGCTGGTCAGCTAGCAGCTTGTAATATAGTGTGGATGGTGCTCTTCTCTGTCACTATCTAGTCACTAGCCATCAACCAGGTATTATTTCTCAGTGAGAAATTTGATAAGGAGAGGTGTGAATTCAATTGTTGTTGATAGATATAATAAAAATTATGAACAAAGAAGCCATTTTCAAGCAAGACACAGGATTACTTTACCCTCAAAGTCATGTTCCCTTTTCTTACTTTCATGAAAAAGTTGCCTTTTATATTATGAGATATGTGCCTTCTCCTATGCTACACAAGCACTGTTCACTGTGTCATGTTATTTCTGAAATACGTTTATTTCCTACAGGATCTACTACAGTGATTTTAATGCAAAGAACTTTTTATTAGTACTATGTTTGCTCAATCTCTTGAAGTAAAAATATTTATCATGTTCATGTGGAATAGTTTACAGGAAACCGGGAGTATTCTTTCAACAATTTTCATTTCTTATGTGTGCTTCTAAATTGTTTGACTTCATATGTGGATAGGGCAAATCTGTATGATAAATCTGCACAACTTTGAATGGTATGCTTGTATGGCAAACAGTTCATTAGGTCATTTGTGTTATTTTTAGATCTTGCATCTTTTCCAAAGCTTTTTGCGCTAAGCATTTATGAGTTCTGTTAGGTTTGCTAACTTCCAGTCCAGTATATATATATGAAACATTAATGCTTATATTTATCCTGAAAATACAGCTTGACCATTTCAGTCATGTTAGGAGGCTCTAGAATATGCCCAGAAGTCATTTTATTAGACATGAAGTATCCTTGACATCTTCCTTACACACTGAAAATAACTGTCTTTTCCTGGAGAGCATGAAGCTACCAATAAATTTCTGTATAGTGTCACAGACATCTCCAGCACTGCTGTAATTGATACTTTCCATTTCCCATTATTGGTATTATTTGCCAGACGTTTTGAATTTGGGCATAGAAATTCTCCTATGTTGTAGAAATTAGTGTGTAAATACTTAACATCCCATTTTTTATACCAATTTTTATATTTAAAGAAATACTGAGTTTTCTAAAAATTTTGAACTATTTTTCTTTACTCAAATGCAAATAGGTGAAAAGTATGGAATGTTACTGATGCTTTCAAATGGGTTGTTATTTTTAATTTTTACTGTATTTGAGACATACAAAAGCTGATTTTTTGTTGTGTATGTACCAGTGTGTGGTACTTTTCCTCACAGTTGGGTGTGCAAGTACAGATTTTGCCTGCACACTTGGTTGATCTATCTTTTAGTTGACCTTCTTTTCTGCAAATGGGCCCCTTGAGTATAACCATAGTCAATTTTTCTGAAAACCATATTGTTTTCTCCTGCTCACAAAGTCTTAAGGTAAACCTAACAGCAGTCAGCAATTCTTTTTTCTGTATTTCCCTGTATTATTAAATTAATAATATAAATAGGAATATTTTTTGTTGCTATGAATGCAGGTCAATTTTTAAATGAAAATACCTGATACAGTAAAGATATCTCTGTCCTATCAAATACACACAGAAACCTAAAATGCATAATCATGTCAGTGTAATGATATATCTCGATATTGGGAGACAACAAAAGAAATGCTTTTACTTTTATGTGGTACAACAGAGACCCAGAAACTTTACTGTAGTGCAGTATTAGCAGCTACAAATGGTTGAACATTGTGCAGAAGTGTAGAGTCTTAAGCAGAAATCTATCTCCCAGAAGCTGGGCCTCAAATGTACTCGTGCCTCAGAAATAGGTGCTTCTGAAAAGCAGAAAACTTTAGCAAAGAGTAAAATGCCTTTTTGTTGTTATAAAATGAGCAGATGTTCGCATGGAACAATGCTACCTGAAATGGGATGAAGATGAGTGCATGCAGCCAGTGCCTGGCAAGTTTCGTATGGATACCTGCTGCTGTGCTGTGGGGATTGCCTGGGGCTCCCACTGCGAGGAGTGCCCTAAACCTGACACCAAGGAATATCAGGCTCTGTGCCCCAGAGGTCATGGCTTTTCCAACAGGGGAGATACTCTAACTGGCAGATCATTTTATAAAGGTAAGGGTTCATTCTTAGGTCTAAAAATGAATTATTAGTACATCTGAGTGAATATTCCAAAAAAAAAACCAACACAGGATTTCTGTCCGTTTGTTATGTACTTGAGATGAGAGATGTTATAAATATGTTTGCCTGAAAAAGCTGACCTTACAGGTGGGAAACTTTGTTTGCATGGATCTTCAAGAGTGTTTCAGGAGCCTAAAAGGTGCAAAATTTCTATTTGTAAGGAGAAAAAGGAAATTACTGTGACAGGACTGAAGGGAGGGGAGCTCTAAATTATGAGAATTACAGAAAGCCTGCACCTTTTTTAGGGTAGTGCTTTGCAAAGAGTGAACTGAGAGTCAGATGAAGTTCCATGAAGCTAGGAAGTTAAGATGTAAATGTAAAATAATACTAAAATTTGGCCAGGGTTCTCTGAAAGAGATACTGAAGAAAGATGGTTTCTTTCTATGGTGTGAAGAATTAAGTGATTAAAAGGGAAGGGTGTCTGCTATTGCATTAAAGTTATGAGGGTAATGATAATGAGGAACAGCAGTAATAAGGAAGGAAATTAAAGTCTTTTGTCCAGTTGTTACTAGCTTCACCTCCTGTAGAGCAAAAAGCCAAAAATAGAAGAGGCTGGAAATTGTTAAAACACTGAATCTGAGATGTTTTAGGTGACTGAAATCTGGAAGAAAAACTTTTAATTGTTGTGTGCAGAAGCTGAGGTTATCTGGAAATATTTTTTATTTGTTTTTAAAAGGATGTGTTCTGAAGCATTTATCTTGAAATATGTTGAGTTGCTTGAGAAAGCTTCAACAGATTGGACCTCTATTTCACCATAAATAAGCTCTGATTTTCAGAAGTTGCTGTTCTCAGGCAGAGCTCTGAATGTTCAGTCTTAATTTACTAAACAAATAAGGAATTTAATAATAATAATAAAATTGTTAATTTTTATTAAAGTTGATTTAATTAGAAATAATGAATTCTTAATTACTTAATAATAATAATAAAATCTTGTCTACTCCAATATTTTTGTAAGGTTTTGCTGCTTGTTTCTGCTTTTGTATTTGGACCACACTTATTCCATTCACGCTGATACTTAAGAGTTAGAAGCTTGTTTTGCCAAAGAAAGTTCTCAGATATGGACATTCATCCAGAGTATTATATCATAGAGTATAAGAAAAGCTCATTCAAGTTTGTAAATGATGTTTGGTGCATATGAGAAAGAAATGTTTATTTGTCCGATGCAAGATCCTTGAACAATCTGTGTTTTCCAGCTGTCCAGCTAAATGCATTTGAAGAAGTTAAACATTTCATTTGATACTTTACAAAGAAAAATTACCCTTTTCAAAACTTGAGTTCCAGGTACCACTTTGGCAATCTCAATTTAAAAGAAAACCCAAACCAAACTAATTAACCAGCCCATGCTCCTTCAGGGTTTCTGCCCCAGCATGGATCATCAACAGGTCATGGTCCTTCAGATATCTCTCTACCCCAGCAGAGGTTGCATGTGAGTCATAATCCCTCAGAAATGTCTCTGCCCCACCATACATCCTCCATGGGCCACTGTCCCTCAGGGTATTCCTGCCCCTGCTTGCAAAACCATGGACCACAGACCCTCAAACATGTCCTTACTTTGGCATGGGTCACCCACAGCAGCAGGCCCTCAGGGGTGTCCCTGCCCTGGTGTGGTTCTTCTGTGGGCTGCAGTTCCTCAAGGGTGTCTCTGCCCTGGCAAAGGTCCTCCAGGGATGGCAGTCCCTCAGGAGTTCCTGCTTGGACATGGAGTTCTGCCTTGCAAGAGTACATCTCCAGTTGTGTCTCAAACAATGTCCCTTCCTGCTTACCTCTCCTCTGTGTAGGAGGAGGTCATCCCTCCAGTACCCTGCAACCCAAACCCTGCCTTTTATACCCACTACAATTGGTAAGAAGGAACAGGAAATTCCCATTAATTTTATATATATCTGTGCTTAAGAATGCTCTTTTAATTTTGTTTCATAGATATCAACGAATGTAAAGTATTTCCTGGCATGTGCATGAATGGTAAATGCAGAAACACAATTGGAAGTTTCAAATGTAAATGTAACAGTGGGTTTGCTTTCGATATGGAGGAACGAAACTGTACAGGTAAGTCTTGCATTTTCTCCAGTTTTTCCTAGAATCATAGAATAGTCCAGGTTGGAAAGGACCTCAAGAGATCATCTCCTCTAACTTTAGTGAGAAAGAGAGCCTAAGTGAGATTATCTAGCACTCTGTTCATCTTGAAAACATCCAGTGATGAGGACTCTTACCTCACCCCTGGGGCATTTTAAAGGAACTTTCACTTGTTGCATAGCTTTTGGACAGAATAGCCAACTGTCTTAAGCATCCCTTTAGAAAGATATTCTCTAATAAATGTAACATTCTTCTTGTACATTAGGAATTTTTAAAATTGTTGTTAAAGATACTTAGGTTATGCTCTCTCAGTACAACCTGAAAAACCAGTAAGAATCACCAGCAAAGCCAAGTTCAATATTTTAACATACAGGTTAACTTAATTTACTTAATCTCTAGGCATTATATTACCAACTATACTTAGAGACCCCACTGCAAAGTAATTTTCATTTAGATTTGGTAGCCAGGCACATACACAGGCATCTCTGCAATTCTGACATCAGTGCAATGTTAACTCAAAAAGAGATTTGCATGTAATTTAAAAGTGTAATATTTTGTTATTTACTGCATGGAAAACCTGAAACAGAAGATAACCTTGATAGTTTTCTGATTATGAGAACCTGGATGCCTGCATTGTGGCTCTTTGCTGAAAATGAAAGAGGTTTTCTTATACCAAACAGGCGCCTATGAGTGAGTCTGAATAATTTGAAGTGTAAGTGGTAAGGCATGTTAACTGAGGTTAGTCTGGATGTTAATGTTGCTCTAAATGGTGATTTCCTTGTTTAATATTGTTTGCATTGATGAGAAATGCATTTGATGAACTTCATTTCTAACCTAACAAGAACAGGTTGGAAAACTCCCTACAAAAGCTTTTTTTGGTTCTGTTTTCCATTGAAAGTTTGTTTTGATGAATATGTTCCACTGAGCAGCTGTAGAGAACCAGGTTTTATTAAATGGAAGAATTCTTTTTTTGTTTTAAATTAGCAACAAAATGTTTCATAAAGCCTGCAGGAGGCCAGATATTCTGTAACATCCTAGGCCCCTACCGGAGTTACCATCTGACATCTCCACACATCTGTGTGTGAGGACTGAACTGTCTTCATCCAACAGAAACTTGGCCATGAGAAGTTGACACAGGCAAAAGAGACTCTTGCATGTGGTGGAAAAAAGAACTGTTTAAAATCTTTAGCGGTTTCCTTAGTTAAGCTTGTATCTACTCAGCTTTCCTCAGCCACTTGCACAAACGACTCTGCTGCTCAACTCACAAACTTACTGCAAACATGTTGATGCTCTTCCTTGCTTCCTGGACTTCTTGGATGACAGAAACAATCCTATGCCCTATCCTGGACTAATGTCTTCATTATTTCAAGTATTCTGTTACTTTTCTTCCTTGTAAAGGCTTCATGATTTCTTAGTATGTAAAAATTAGTGACACAGTAGTGAATGAAGCTGAAGGTAGAGGGTGTGGTGGACAGCATGAAACAAAGGCCTTTAACCCACTGGATGGGTGGTAGAGTAAGGAAGAGAAAAGTATGGAAAAACATGAGGAGGCAGTAAATAACAGTCTATCCAGTTCTTCCTAGTTCTCTACTTCAACACTGACCTGTTCCACTGGATCATACCAATGTCACAAATTTCTCTTTGGCTTCGTGCCTCACTAACAGTGTGTCTTAAAAGGAGCTCTTCCTTCTCTTTTCACCTTGTACAAACCTGCTACAGCCTTCCACAGTAAGTTTCATTCAGACTTACCTAACAAGATAACAAGTGAACTGTAAATCTGGCTTTCAAAGGAGCTACTTTAATTACTAATGGAGAGGGTATATGTAAGCTTATGATCCTGTTACTGGATAAATGTCTTCATAATAAGCAATTTATTGGGTTGACCAAAAGTAAATGCATTTTTTTTTTAAATAGATGAACATATGTGTCCTGAAACGTAGCTAACTTCATCTCAACCCACAAATTCATTATGTAACTTGGCAACTGACAGTTCAAGTTTGTTTTAGAAAAAGAAAGCGCACAATTTCATTAACAATTATTTATTTGGCGTCAATTTCAAAGTGGAAAAGCTCATAAAAAGTGATGTATGGTGAAGATGCCTTGAAACTACAGCAGAGACAGAATTGATTTGGTAGATTTCAGTCTGGAGATTTTGATCTTAAAGATGCACCACACTCAGAAAGGCAAATCAAAATGTGTAGTGACAAAATAAAGACATTGATCAAATGCAGTCAGCATTTAACGACATGAGAGATTGCTGATAATCTTAACACATCAAAATCAAGTGTTGAAAACTATTTAAAATTACTTGGATATGTTAAGAAGCTCAATATTTGGGTACCACATGAGCTCAAAGAGATTAATCTCACTAAGCACATTGACATCTGAGATTGCCTCTTGAAACATGAAGAAAATGATCCATTTTTGAAATGTATGACAACACGCAATGAAAAATGGATCATCTACATCAATGATAAATGGAAAAGATTGTCAAGCAAGTATGATGAACTGGCTCAAAGGACTTCAAAAGCAGATATTGAAGGTTATGCTGTCAGTCTGGTGGGATTTCAAAGGTATTGCATACTTTGAATGGCTTCCAAGGAACCTAACCATTAATTCAGACGTGCACTGTTGTCAACTGGATAAATTTAAATGATCCCATCAAACAGAAGCGTCCAGAATTGGTGAACTGCAAAGATGTTGTGTTTCACCATGACAACACTAGACCACATACAAATTGGGTCACTCATCAAAAATTGTTACAGCTTGGATGGGATGTGTTACCACATCCACCATATTCACCGCACCTGGCACCATCAGACTACCATTTGTTTTGTTCTTTACAAAACATCTTGAATGGTAAAACTGTCACTGCTGATGAGTGTATAAAATCGTTCTTGGAACTGCTTTTAGTGAAAAAGATAATAACTTTTTTGAGTGTGGAATCATGGATTTGCTTGAAATATGGCAAAAGATAATGGAATAAAATGGACAATATATAATTTAATACAGGTTTTGTTTCCCATGAAAAATTCACCTTTCATTTACCAAGAAAAAGAAGCAATTACTTTTTGGACAACCTAATAATGTCAATGGCACTATAGTCATGGAGTCAGTTGGTAGCTCTGGAATAATAACCACTCAGAATTTGTTGCAGCTAGTAATTTCTTAGAAATATAACCTTAAGTTATACTTAATGGAAGCCTACTTGTTGCATAGTTTAATCTATAGTTGAGACCTCTGAAGCCATTGCATTATGAATCTTTCACAAACCATTTCACATAATATAAAGATATTCCTTTAAATATTATATAAATTTCATTTTTCTCTGTTGATTTATATACTATATGATTTCTGTAGAGTTAGTTTATAATAACTAAGTGTTCATTTCTGTGAAAAGCAGGATAACCTTAACTCTTTTTGATTTTTCTACCTCTCCATTACTGTAAAATAGATGTTGATGAGTGCTGGATTTCCCCAGACTTATGCGGAAGTGGTATTTGTGTCAACACTCCTGGAAGCTTTGAGTGTGAGTGCTTTGATGGTTATGAAAGTGGATTTATGATGATGAAGAACTGTATGGGTAAGTGTTACCAGGATGACCTAGGGTCTATCCATTTACTCTACGAAATCTGACTGTACTCTGTACTATACTAACTCTGCTTCACTGAGCACTTCATATGTATAACGACTGTGAGTTCTTGAACGAATGAGACAGATACACAGTTTGTAGGACAAATAACTATGCATATAGCTTTACCTGTTCTTTTTCCTAATTACTTTTACACATTTCTGTATAGATATTTTAGAATGACAGCAACTATTCATTCATGTAGTTTAAAAATGTCTAATGAGGTATCGAAACATTTGGTAAAGTTAGGAATAGAAGGCTGGAGTTACAAAAGTAGTGTGATTTACTGTTCCTTGATTCTTTTTGTACTCAAGAAGTTCTGAGAGCTTTTCCTGAAAAGCCATATGTCTCTAATCTGTCTAGGAACAGGTAGATATGGAGACATCAAAAGTTACTAGCCACCTTACAAAATCATGAGTTAGTACTGTGGAGTACTTCATGAAATACATCATGAAATATATAATGAAAATGAAAAGTCTGAGATTTTAATCTTGATGAGTCTGGATTGTTCCCCCTCCTTTCCCTTTTTGAAGGCTGGATTGACATTTCCTCTCTTCCCACTCTAAAGATCCTTTCCTAATTTCCATGAACTTTCAAGGATGGCTAGGAGTGGTTTCAAAATTACATCAGCCAGCTCTGTCTCAGCACTCATGGCTCTTTTCCATGTCCTTCGTCAGCAGTTCCATTCCCACATTTCCCCTCATCTTTCTGCTTGTGCCGTTACGCACTTCACATCCCTTGTGAGGGTCAACTCCTGGTGCCTTTGGCTTTCCTAACCCCATCCTTGCACTCTCAAATAGTGCCTCTGTACTTCTTCTGCATCCCCTGTCCCTGCTTTTGCCTATTTTATGTTTCATTTTTGTGTTTGAGTTTTGTCAGGTGCTTTTGTGCTCGTAGTTGAAATCAAGTAAGTAGTCCTATGCCCCTGTGTACGTGGGGGCCATGCAGACCTCCTGTGACCTTTACTTGATTTCCTGTGAATTGTGATGCTTTTAAACTCCAGAAGTCAGCAAAAAACCATTGCCTGAATCACAGATGAAAATAACAAAAAAGCTAAACTGTGGAAGCTGAATAGCTCTCATGAGAGACAGAGTACAAATGCAGAGGATCAGTACTGTATGGTGGAGAAGTTACCTGTAAAAGGAGGCAGGGAAGGAAGATGTCTGATAAATAAGCAGACTGAGGAGCTAAGAATAGAAATTACTTCTTGAGGTCCTTTTGCAAAAACTAAGAAATTGGGGGCATAATGTTAAATGGAAACACTATCCAAGAAGGACTATAGCAAAAAAGATGTTGAAATCTATAATCAGGCAGTTTCTCCCCTCATGTAAACAGCATGAAAAACCCAATGGTATCTTGGCTAAATTCTCGGTCTGCCTAGCTGAATAAAAGTCTCTAATTTCCAAGACAGGTAGCCGTAATGCTTCCTGAGAATCCAAAAGTATAAATGCATCTTGCATCTTGAATATCTTTTGATCATATTTCTCTTCATTTACATCTAGCTGTTTTTATCAGGTTTGTGAGTCAGATACTCAGTTTGCTATTATAAGCTGTAGCAAGCAATCTTCTCAGCCTCACAACAATAGCAGGACTTACCAAACTGAACAACTATTTAGTTAAAAGTTTACACACACATCCCCATTAATAACATCCATAGACAACAATTTCAATGCATTCATAAATGGGTGTGTGGTTGCATTATGAAGCACTTTTTAAAAAATTTCATCACATAAATACATTGTTCTAAATGACGGCTATCCAGACAACTGCTGTCTTTTCTGTATTCTGTGTCTCCTAGAATACTTAATTTTGAATGATGAATTTCCGGTTTTCTTAAGGGGAAAAATACCCATTTTTAGAGTTAATAGTGTATAGTTTTTTATTTGCTCTGTTATGCAGTATGAGGAAAGGAGAAGCACTGCTTCAATGAAACAATCCCTTTATTTCTGATCTCCAGATTTTGTAACTTACAGACACTAAGAATTGTTTTTCTCTTTGTTGTTCCTTAGTAATGATTTACTATTGGTTTATCATGGTTTCTTTGCAGATATTGATGAATGTGAACGCAACCCTCTGCTGTGTAGAGGTGGCATATGTGTGAACACCCAAGGGAGTTTTCAGTGTGAATGTCCTTTGGGACTTGAGCTGTCACCATCACGTGAGGAATGCATAGGTGAATTTCAAGTCAGAATAGTAGTCTTTGGCTTTCTAAGCAGAGTGGTCATTTGTGCTATGACAACTTGTCTCTGGCAAGGATAGGGTCTCAGGAATATGTTATACAAGTTCATGCTCCTCCTTTATATGACTATCTTCAGATTAAAACCTTATAACAGATCCTGTAAAACCTCCAGTGCCCTTAATACTATTGATTTCAAAGAAAAGTATTTTACCAGGCCTCTCAGGGATTGTTCAGAAACTCAAAGGACTGTATGACTTATTTTGACAACTTTCAAGTAAAATAAAGAGAAGTACAAAGTTAACTTCATTCCTACAATCACACAAAAAAGTGTTGTCCCTTACTGAAATGCAGCTTTCCTTTTTGCACATAATTCACCAAAATGGTGAAAAAATGCAAAAAAACCCATAATGCATATTGTCTCTTTGGGTTCTATGTCTGATGCATAGTTGCTTCAAGAGTTGGTTTAAACCAGCAGACCGTGCAGTTAATGCTCATAGACCAGAAACAAAGAAGATAGACCTTTGGATAATTGTCTTATACGTTCTATTCAGATCTTCATGCCTTGAACTGGAACATGCTAAGAAGAAAGATATGAAAAAGCCTGAAAGCTACCAGTTTAAAATATTGCCTCTTACCTCTTTCTCTGACATTTGGGCAGTTAGAGTCTGCATTCTGAATAACAAGTAATTGATATGAATTATTCTTTTCCAGATATAAATGAGTGCTTATTAAGTGACAATCTTTGCAGAAATGGCAAGTGTGTAAACATGGTTGGAACATACCAGTGTTCCTGTAACTCTGGGTTCCACACCACTGCTGACAGACAAGGCTGCATAGGCAAGTGCTGTACACCTTCACATGTATATTTGTGATTCAGCATGTGTTGTTTCATCTGTTTTTATTTAATTTAATACCTTTGTTTTGAAACTGAGCAGGGCCATCTTCTCATCTGCTAAGAGTTGGGCTGGGTGGTTTTGTTTGGTTTTTTTGCAAAAATATGAGTATGTGGTGCATTTCAAGCTTTAACAAAACCTAAGTTTCTTAGGTCTTTTCTTTCTTTCCTTTCCATGTGTTGTCTATTGTACATTTTTTTTACAACCCTAGTAATAAATATGAACAAAAGCAACAACTAAAGATAGCCACTTGCTCCCACAGATGAAAATGCTGTTGAAAGAGAGAAAGCTGAACAAAATGTAAATCAGAGACAACAGAGTGAGAATAAAAATTCAGAATCATATCACTAAAAAATTCTTTGATTGGTTAAGTAAAATGGCAATAGATGACTTTTCCTTATGAAAGTAGACTCACTACTACTTATGTTGCTTCCCCAGATATTGATGAATGTATGATTATGAATGGAGGCTGTGACACCCACTGCACTAACTCAGAAGGCAGCTATGAATGCAGCTGCAGAGGTGGCTATGCTCTAATGCCAGATATGAGGACATGTGCAGGTAGGTTTTAATATCTTGAAAGTTCCAACATCGTATCTTTCAGCAATACAAACACAATATTCTTTTATCCTGTCCTTACCAGAGTGACAAATCTATTACCTGCTCTTTTTTTTTGCAGATATTGATGAATGTGAAAACAATGCAGATATCTGTGATGGTGGGCAGTGCACTAATATTCCAGGGGAATATCACTGTCTTTGTTTTGATGGATTTATGTCTTCCATGGACATGAAAACTTGTATCGGTAAGTAGCTGTATGCACCAAATTTAATGCAAGTCTAAAAATTCTGCAGCTAATGTTTTAGGATGTTTTGCCAAATCCTTGGAAGTGAGTATTTAAACTAAGTATATTATTAAAAAAAAAATAAATCTGGATATTTCTTGCCTGTCACTATAGATGTCAGGAAGGGCAGAAAACAATTTGGAAAGTCCATAAAGATGAATCAAATCACATAGTTCCTAAAGTAGGAGTGATTCAGTTGTAATGATATGATTTCTCTAAAACATTTCTGTTGAGAAAAGATTATTTGAGTGCACCAGTGTTTCCTTCTGTCTCTTGTTAGTTTATTCCCTCAACTACAGAAAGTTCTCCTTACAAAGGAAATTAAAAGTATCTCCTCAAATTAACCTAACCTTTTTAGTTTAACTTGGTGTTTATATGAAGTTCTTACCTTTTTCATTTAATGCAAAGCTTCATAAGTTTCATATTTTAAAGTGGTTTTGGCTATATTAGTAACATCTTTTTATATTTTGTGAGAACAAACGAACCTTCACTATGCACGTGTATGCACTCACGCAGACACACTGAGGAGAAAGTTATTATATGTAATGGTGAGCAAAGCTGTCCTAACCTGGTGTGACGAAAAGAGACTCTACTGCA